ACCCCTAAGCTGCTCAGCTTCTGTACAACTGAACATCATAACTTCTTCCATTCTCATTGCCCTTAATATTCCTATAAGATGAAGATACATTTGTTCAAAGTGTGAACAAAAAAGGCTTTTCTTTCGTAACAGTGAAGAGAAAAGCACACTTTTTTTTTCCCTTAAGCAACATATCTATAACTTTCAATCAGTCAATATAGGCAGCAAACAATTTCCTCTGTAGACATCAGGAATCATCCACCAGCTATTATTACACACTAAGATTTTTACAAAGGCCTCATGCGCTATCAGACCAGAATTTGCAGGAGCCCTTTCACTTCACATTTCTTGCGAGACACCACTCTTCCCAAAAACCTTTACCATTTCCCCAAAAAAACTTTACCATTTCTCCATGAAGAGCTTATGGAAGAGGATTTCTAGGGCTGACTCTCCTCCCTCCCATTACTCTCTGGGCAGGCTACCCACATAACCAACAGGAGACTTACAGGACAGGGGAACCATGGAAGAAAGGGTTATGCTGGTGAACCATTTTAAACCCACTGGTCTTCAATGCCACATAAAACGCAGCTTTCACTCATTATCCAACTCTGACGCTATAAAGAAACACAGGACTCCACACGCAATGACCAAATTAGATTCTGCATGTTGATTAACAGTCAGGTGTTGTTTCAGAGGTTGATTACACAGGCTGGAATTGAAGAAACTTGGGCAGTACAGCTAGACTTTTAGTCACGTTCTGAATGATGCTGCCTCTACCACAGCACTGCAGTGTGACATTAGAACATGCACTGTAATTGCTCCTACAGAGTAGCTTCTACAACAGAAGGAAACAAATGCGCAACATCTCTTCAATCCAAATGATACATCATTAAGCCAATGATCTTTCCAGTGTAAGAAGATATTTGCATTACAGTTGATTTATGTTTGTTCAAGATGCTCCAAACAGGGGTGGGAGAGGAAAAGCAATGGCTTTTGGATTTAGCCACATGAAGATGCCCAACATCACAGGCATTAATATTACACATGCCAATTCCAAAGCAGGAGCAGCCAGATCAAACCAAGGAAGACCACAATTAACAGCAAGCTGTTCAGGTTTTTCCATGGCAATAGACCAGTGCTACTGCATATATTGACTAACGTCTTCTTTTTTTCATCCTTGGTCACACATTGTCTCAAGCACATGCTTCCTTCATACCTCTGCAGTATTAAAGGACGGTGGCACTTCATCATAGGTGGACAATTAAACATGCTGAAGATTAAGTCTACCAATAAATGGAGACCGGAAGGAGCCCAGATAGAGATATCCATTGTGTTCGTGTGCCTCACTAATGTAAGGTACCGTCACTCCATTGGGATCATGAAAGCTTCTTCTGTAGGATCCTGTCTCACTAAGTTCAACAACAAGGCTATATCTGGGCACAAACTTCATCAGAGTTTCCTGACTCAGCAGCTAGGGAAAAAAAAAAAAAAAAAAGGAAAGAAAGTTAGCAGATTGTTCTATATGATTAGATTTCAGACACTTACACAGTCAAAGATCATTTCACATTCCCTGGAAGAAGCAGTTGGAAGATAAGTACACATTTTGAGTGAACAGCTAGTACACAGGTTAACAATTTAACACATCTGAAAAATCAACTTAAAAAAAAAATCAATAAAAAACATACTCTAGGACTGTGCTGAACATATGTCCACACTGATGCAGGAGACATCAGCTTTTTCTGGCACAAGTAGTGCCAAACAGCAGAGGCCAAGCTCAGCTCTCCATAGCATCCCATACAAAAGGGATGTTCAAATGCAGCCCCTCTGCTGTTGCATGACTAGAGCAAAAACAACCCCTCTTTCTTCTCTGATATCACAGTGGAAAGTAGCTTAAGAGATGGCTACCTGATGATAATGCTAGGGAAACTAGCATTCTTTGAACCATCTTAAAACATGTGGAGACTATTCTAACTGGATACAGTTTTAATTATAGCATTAAAAAAAAGAAAGAAAAACTTTCTGTGACGAGGAAGGAATGGATAAATATTTATGATTTCCATTACTATACTAAATATGAAGGTGCAGGTTACTTCCCCACCACCTTCCCACAACTCACACACACTTTGCAGAGGAGAGGGGTGAGGCGGTTACCTTAAATATAATTCTTTTAATCCATGGTTTTTCAGACAAGAAATCCAGCATAGAAAATCCAGGATTGGGCCGGATAGTTGACATAGCCACCCAATATCCTCCAGAACTGCTTAACCTGATATTATCTGGAAAACCAGGCATATTCTCAACAAAAATATCTGCTCCACCTTTCATCAGACCAGACACATAATACCTGAAAGTCATAAATAGCAGTACTAAGACATCTTCACTTAAGCAGTAAGTGATAAACATGTCCCAAAAGGAATTCATAGGGGAAAAAATGAAGAATAATAGTAATAGAAAAAATATACTTTTAAACAGAAAAAAAAAACAGGGGCAGGATGGTGACAGATACAGTAATATTTTCAAAGTCACTCACCTCCTGATTCTAGCCATGGTTGTTTCCTGCACCAGGACAAAGTCTTCTGCTTGAGAGAGCTGGACTCCATTAGGGAACTGCAATCCTGTCATTAAGACTTTCACTTCTTTTGTCACTGTGTCATATTCGAGCAGGCTAACAAGAGAACATTACATATGTTTGTGAGTGGAAGCAAATATTTACTCATCTTGGTTTCACTCTTTAAAAGTCTTTTTAAAGGAAAAAGAGGAAATTCATTTATTTCATGGGCAGTAGAATGTTTGCACAAGTGTTTTTTTAAAAAAAAGAACTTGGAGACCAATTTGAGTGGCCACATATACTCCCAGTGCTGAGTTTACAAGTTAAACATCTTTAGGAAGAAATACTTGCCGCCCATCATCTGTGCCTTCCATAACCAAGAACATGTAGTCCCGCCTTTGCCATTTGCTGCTGGAATCAGTAAAGTAGATTTTCCTCCCATCCTGAGTGACTGTAAGGTCATTCAGAAAAGACAGCTTCTGACCTTCAATTAGTGTTTTGGTTGACACAAGCATTTTTGTTTCACCTGGTTACAAAGAGAAAAAAAAAAAAGAAAAGAAAAGAAAAGAAGAAACACCAGTAAAAATGTGTGTGCTCTGCTTTGGAGGTTAATATTTTGAAGTTAATATTAAAATTAACAAGCACTTCACAATTTTTCCGTTTGTGTATGTGTTGCGTAATAAGGACTTGGGTTGTGAGGAAAGTACTCAACACTGGTAGAAAACAACCAGGAGAGATACTCTTCAGAAAAAAACAAAGCAGTAGAAGTTTCCTGTTGAGAAGCACAGATTAAGTCTCCAGAGCCCATTTTAAACCAAGCACACACTAAGGCCCCAACCTTGCAGAAGAAATCAGGCAAGCCAATCACTACTCCATCTGCACAGTTTTTGTTCTTGATGTATGACAGAACTAATGTGACAGCAGTTTACTGTTAAAAAGGGAGACCTTGATCATATCCTTCCAAAGTTGTAGACTCTAAGCCTTTCCACTAACTGAGAACTAGAATTCTGGCTCCCTCCACCAGTCCAAGAAGATAAATAAAAGCTCTTCACTACTACTTTGAAAGTTTCAAGCATATGCCACCAGAAGATAAGCAACTGGTGATTTTGATCAAGACAAGAAGATAGAGAGCAAAGTGATTGTTACAAGAAAACAAAGTTCCTGCATGGCAGGTTTCACCTTGACAGCTCCAAACCACTTCCTAAAGGCAGCAAGCTTTCCTCTGCTACAGCACCTCACAGAATTCCAAATGGAGCTCAGGCTGGTCAGGGGAAAGAGATCTGCTGTACAGTAAATTCATACCTGTGTCAGGATTAATTTCATAGAGTCCATGATAAGCATCTGCCACAAAAAGGGTATTATTTGGTCCAACTCTGATGCCAAGTGGCCTTCCACAAGTTGGCTCATCTTCTGGCCTGCCTTAGAAAACAATTGAAATTTTTTTTTTTTTAAATATAAGTAGAAGGCATTCAGGCCATCCACAAAGGTTAAAGTTCAGCTCAGTAACAGTACAGCAGCACACACACACACACACACACACGTAAAAGGCATTCAGGCCACACACAAAGGTTAAATTCAGCTCCGCAACAGTATAGCAGCACACACACACGCACACACATGAGAGACCACTCTTATTAGGCATAAGGGAAACATATCTCTAGACTGGTCAAAAGATTAGGGATTATCCATCATTTGACAAGCCCTAAGTAGGGCTGAATGAAAGGAAATTCCAATTCTGATGCTTCATCACAGAAAGAATCTTTTTTTTAAAAAAAATCTAGATTTTTTTCCCCACTCCCACACACAATTTCAACTTTCTAGAGCTGTCTAAAGCTCTGATGAGGCAAGTCCTCAGGACAGGCCCCGAGGACTTCATGAGATTTAAGAGAGAAGCTGCTACAAACCTGGAATAATTAGGCCCACTTGAGTTGTTCTGAAGTTCTTGATTCCTCACATCTGTAGACTGCAACACTAGAAACAGACAGAGCCTTCTGGGGACATTGGTCAGGTGCAGCTTTTCTGCTTTCTCCCCCAAAGGAGGAAGGCAAGAGAGCAGCTGAGCCTTCCCCCGTCTGTGGTCCCAGAGAAGCACTACAGCATGATCTTCCCACCTCTCCCAGGAACAAGCTGTACAAGTCCAATGGAGGTGCAACAATAGAAACAGACAGAGCCTTCTGGGGACCTTGGTCAGGCGCAGCTCTTCTGTTTTCTCCCCCAAGGGAGGAAGGCAAGAGAGCAGTTGAGCCTTCCCTCTGTCTGTGGCCCCAGAGAAGCACTACAGCATGATCTTCCAACCTCTCCCAGGAACAAGCTGTACAAGTCCAATGGAGAGGTGATATATTGTTTTCACCCAATCCCATGAGTGCCTAAGCAGCCCCTGGAAGGCCACCTTTATATCAGGTGAGTTCACTTGCAGTCAGGGCCATGGCTCTCCTAGCCAAGAGACTGCTTCCAAATCAGTTTAAGCCCAACCATGTGAATAGATCCATAAAATTACATAGCTCAAATGCTAAGTGCATTAACTCAAGCTAAAGACAGCAACAGCCCTAGTTTAGTCTAACATGCCAGCAGTACAGGGCTAAAGTTCTTCCGTCACCAAAACATAGGCTTCTACATCACAAAACCAAACACACACGCACACAAGCACAAATACACAGCCTCAACAAACACCAGCCAGACATCTCAGATTGAGGTTGTCAACCACAAGCTTCCCCATAGAAATTGTTCCATTAACAAACATGCCACAAACAGTTATTCTCACTCGCTTCCAGTAAGTTCATCAAATGAGCCAAGTAAGTTTTTCAGAAAGAGATATGGACTTCAAGAAATAATTGTGATTTACCTGTGAATATACAGAACTACCATGATCAGTGGAAGGTTTCCCCTAAAGCAGGTACAGCCACCACAAACCCTCACAGGCAGAAGTGAAGTGAAACTAGCATAGCAAAATGCACTGCAATTTTTTTTCTATAATATTTTTTTAAAATATAAGGAGGGTTATATTTAATTACAAGAATCTCTAAATAAGTTGATTTTACCCACTCACAAATGATCTCAGATTTCATTCACTCACACTTGGATGCTCAAGATATATATTTCCTGAGTAGGTATCCACACTGTCTGGATACAATTACTTGTGTGCACCAGCTGTCACATCCTCACTGCATTTCTGGCATCCTCTTCAATGGCAACACAAACTGCTTTTGGACAGATCTTTTATATCTCAAAGAATTCCCATTTGTTATGAGGTGCCCTTTCTCTTTCAAATTACTGACTTCAGTTTCCATAACATTAAGCCAGGTTGCAGCCCATTTTTCCTTATTTAGAATATACTTTTTTCTTTTTCTTCTTCTTCTGGATGGGCTACCAGGAAGAGGAATATTATCTGTGATATACTGCAACCTTGTCTTTCTCCTGATGCTAAGATTGCTTCCTGTTTCCTATTGGGATGCATGCCTTGCAGTCGTGACAAACATCCCCAGCAATAAAACTGAGTTGAGGAACAACGTCCTTAGTTATCAACGCCAGGCATATTTTTAACCCTTTGTTTGACTATCCCTGCTGGTGCTTATACATGTTTCTATTGATACCTGACTCATAGAAATCTTTATCTTTCTTTTACAAATCTCTACAGAGTGATATAGACATTTGCTTAAGCAATCCAGGCAGAACAATAACATCAACAAAAGCCCTGATCCAGACATTTTCAGGTAAGGCACATTCAGAAGCTGTCACTTACCACAAGGACCATGGCCAATTCTAGCTATTGTCTGTAATTCCCCATCTTCAATTTTTAGAATCTTTCCATCAGCTGTCCCAGTATAGAGGACATCTGCAGAGACAAGTGTCGACATCAACTTGATCACAAAATTGCAGTGGAAAACATCCATGATAGAAGTGTTAACATGAAGCAAAATTTATGCTTAAAATACAGTAAAGTATCAACACATTCCTCTTCACTTGCATCAAAAGAATAAAAATTGAAGAGATTCAAGGCAAGAAAATGCATTCAGTTAGGTTTTCATCAGCTCAAGAACAGCAAGGATTCAAGTCTTAAGAGTTATGAGAGGGACACAAAGCTTTTTACTTTGTATAACTTGACCCAGTCTCCAGTTAAAGATGCTGATAACCATTTAATGGCTAGTAACTCGACTGATCCTTGCAGGCACATTTCTGCATCATCGCAAAGTGTGATCAGGCCCCGTGTCCATCTTGCTGCTTGTGGAAAGAGCATGTGCAGACCTGGCGAGGAGCCAGGTGCCTGGCTGAGGATGCAATGGCAGGCCTGGAGCGCGGTCTCTACACTCTGACCAAAAACAGCCAGGGCCAGACACACACATGCAGTTTTGTCAGCAATGTCTAGCTGCTTCTCAGCCAGTGACTACTCAAGCTTAGCACAGTCAGGATAAGAAAGGAGGTACCGGAGATAAAAGGGACCCTCCGGATACACAAAGTAAGCCCTACCTAGTCATCCAATCCGTCTATCCAGCAGCCTCCCATCAGCAAGCCCTCCATTCCGTGCCCAGGGCTCCTCGGGCTGTTTGGCGTGCAATTCCCTCATTAAATCTATTTTGTTTAACACCTCACGTGCCCTCAATGTCCCTCTATGCTGGTATCTGACCCTCCACTTCCCATCTGGCAGTCACACCAGACTCGCTAAATGAAACTTCATTCTTGTGCAAGTTCCTGAAGATTGCCGAGTTCTCCTGAAGAGATTTAAACTGCCGTTTCCTGCACTGTACCGGTCCTGCGGAAGAGCTACAAGAATCAAAGTAATCTAACGGCCACCCAAACCAAAAGCATTGCTCAATTGAGGTATTTATGCCAGGTCATATGACAGATTCACCAGAATCTTCCGCACAGCACCTGGACACTTCCACAGATCAAAGTTTAATGGCAAATGAAGGACTATTGGATTAGCAGAGTCTGTTGCTTGGACTTTTCCATCTTCAAGGTAACTGAAATTTAAGTCTCCTAATTATACTTTAAAAGGGAATAAGACTTCAGCATTCAAAAAGGTTTCTATATTCTGCAAACTATTTCCAGTCACACTGTTTCACCCATAGGAGAGCCAGGCCTAGTGTGAGGATTTCCTTAAGGAATTTCTGAGAGGACTGACAATATTAGAGAATAGAAAAGAACTAGTCGTTCCAAGCAATCACTTTAGCATAATGTTAGCATAGAGAGGCAGCAAAGATAAGTATTCTGAGGAATGAAGGAATTTATAGAGCATTTTCTCATTGTGTTAAATAAAAAGCAGGATGTTAAATATTTTACTAGTTTGTTAAGAGGTAGAATAGTAGGCAAATAAAAAGGTATGGCTAATGTTTGCTTTCGTGTTGAAGGATGTTGCAGCAATGGCCTCACCTGCCACTTGCACACTATTTGATTTCCCTGTTAAAGCAAAAAAGGACTCACAAAAGTAGTTCCCAACCTTATCCCTCCAGGAGCACAGAACCACAGCTGCACAGTGCTGGATTCCTACTGAGGAAGTGTTATGCCATTACAGGTCTAGCCACTGATTAGGAAATGGCTCTGAAGAGGCGTGGGTTTGTGATTTGGTGAGGAAACATACATGCCCTAAGAGAGATGCACATGATGGCACCTGTAACGCATGAAATTGCACTCTAACACAGGAAAAAACTTCCAGAGATTGTTATTCAGGGTGATCACACCTTTACCAATATAGCAACGTTTAAACATCCTTTCTAAAAAGCTTATTTTGTCAGTGCTTACCATCAATATTAACAATGGATTCTGGTCCAACAAGTTGACCTTCCCATAATCGCTCAGCTTTTCGTAACTTGATATTTGGCTCCAGAACACCCGTCAGAAGGGGAGGCTCTTTCAAGCTGTAGAGCAGAACACAGATTTCATGACTTTTCACACAGATTTGCAAAAGCACTTGAGAAAGAAGTCAAGCAATTGATTTTACCTAGCTTGCCAACTGCTGCAAGCCTGACCCAAACTCTCCACTCAGAGTATTTCAAAATAGAAAGCACAGGTCACAAATGGAAAACTGGACTCTGTCCATCAAGGATCATAAATTTCTTGTTCTGCTGCTCAGAAAAGAAGCTGCAATCATATTCTTGGGACACATCTGGAAGTCTGTACAGCTTTAAGCCTAACAATACATTCTTGGTTCATCATCCTTACACAAAGCAAAGGATTTCAGCACTGTTTCAGCACACAAAAATTACTACTTTTACCCCGGTTAAATGAGCTGTTTGTATCAGAATGTTTTTCCTGCATATAGATTGCAAGTTTCTAAACAAACAGTTCTGAAATTTAAAAGTCTGTGATTTTACAATACGGCAAAAATCTAGCAGCATATAATACATTGATCACAGAAAAAAAAACATTTTTAAGTACTAAATAATGTAAAATTCTTAGAAAAAAAATGATACAATAGTGTTTGAGCAGTGGGGGGGCACACGCTTTCATACCACATCAAAACATGTGTTCTCGTGACTTGAATGATTTCCTAATGGTGAAAGACCAATGCAATGGAATAAATTGTACATTACCACAAACAGACTTGAAATGAAATCTAAAAACAGTAAAATAAGGCTCAATCTTGCAAATCCTTATTCACATAAATAGCCAGATTCAAGTAAGCTGGATTTCTAATCAGGTACCAACCAAAGAACTAGGGAAGATGATGCCTACACAACTCCTGCATCCAGAAGCTACTAAGATGATTAAGGGACTGTAATATCTCTCATATGAGGAGAAGCTGTGAAAGCTGGGATTCTTCAGCCTGGAAAGACTGATGGTCAATGTGTATAAGCATCTGAAGGGAAGAAGCAGAGAGGATGGGGACAGATTATTTTCAGTGTACCCAGCAATTAGATAAGAGGCAACAGGCACAAATGAAAACACAGGAAGCTCCATCTGAAAAGAAGGGAAAACTACTACACTGTAAGGGTGACTAAGCACTGACACAGGTTGTCCAGAGATGTTGTGGAGTTTCCTTCCCGGAGATCTTTAGAAGCCTACAGGGCAGTGTGCTCTGTTGAACAGGTAGGTTGAACCAGACAATCTCCAGAGGTCCTCTGCACCGACAACCATTCTGTGAAGACAGGCTAATTTATTCTAAGTTGCTTTTACAGAAGACCTCAGGAATCTCATATGAAGTTTCAAAACCTTATTCTTTATTTTAGTAGAATGCCATTTCCAGGGACATATAGAATTAACAGTAGTCTACTGGTAAACAAAACTTCTGTATATCCTTTCACTGAAGAGATCACTCTAAACAGCATCTCCTTGAATTGTTTCAAAGCACTTTCTAAGCATCATGGAGATGCATCTAGTCTGTCATAAAGATTGGAAGAGTTTCTGGCAGCAAAGCTAACAAACTGTCTAAGAACACAGAGCAAAATAAGTCACTGATTTGGACAGGAAGAGTAATTCTGACCTTTTCAAAGGGACTTAAACTAAGAAAGGCAGGAACGCAGAATACAGTTACTCTGAACCATCTACCTTTTTTAAAAGACTTTTTAAAAAGTATCCTGTTCACTTTTAGATTTTCTATTTAGCTATATATTTCACGGATTTTTATTATTATTATTTTTATTAAGTAAACTGCAGTAGAAAGCATTTCATCACAATTTGCAGCCAGAGAGCTTACATCTAATAGCCTACTGGCAAGACAATGTGGCAGAGTAACACTCTAACACATTAACAGGCTCTTTTGACTCTAGAGATACTTACAGCATTCTTCCTTTTCATTGGACAGTTACTGAGCTGATCATAAACTTTAACAGAGAGATTGCTTAAAGAGACCTGCATTTAAATATAAGACCTCTGTAAGGTTCAGATGGTTCAAAGTGCCAAACAGACCTTGTCATAGAATCATAGAATCATAGAATGCTTAGGGTTGGAAGGGACCTCTAGAGATCATCTAGTCCAAACCCCCTGCACACACAGGGTCACCTAGAGCACGTGGCACAGGACTGCATCCAAGCGGGTTTGGAAGATCTCCAGAGAAGGAGGCTCCACAACCTCTCTGGGCAGCCTGTTCCAGTGCTCTGTCACCCTCACTGTTAAGAAATTTTTCCTTAAGTTCCTATGGAATTTTTGATGTTTCAGTTTCCGGCCATTTCCTCTAGTCCTATCAGTGGCCACCACTGAAAAGAGACCATCACCGTCCTCTGCACTCCCTCCCTTGAGGTACTTATAGACACTGATTAGATCCCCTCTCAGCCTTTGCACCCCAGGATCCCATTGGCCTTCTTGGCAACGAGGGCACACTGCCCTCAGTCAGGTTATTCGTCAGGTTATAGTCAGGTTATTTGTTTCTATTTCAAGCTTTAAATGAAGTCTCTCTTGGACAGAAGTATAACATCAGGGGTACAGCCAGGACCCTGGCGCAAAAGCAGTTCTTATCTCACAGAAGGCAAGAGCATATGCAAGTAAGCCACAAACTCCACTGACAGCTTGGACAGCAAAAAATCATTTTCTAAATTAATGATCAAAAAGAAATTCAGCTCCTTCATTGCTCAACACAAACAACTGCACAAGGTGGCTCAAGAACTGTGTATGCAGAGTAGGCCACAGTGATGGATAGATAGCATTACAATCACACCCTGATTTCCTCAGTGCAATTTAATCACAGCTGACTTAAGTCTTGGTTGCTGGAAAAAGCAGAACACATTCAAAAGTTACATTTCAACAGCACTGATTTGAAAGCAAAGTAACGCTTTACCTTATGGGCTGTGGGTCTATAGGACAATCCAGTAGAACAATGGCTCCAAGCAGGGGAATAATTAGGGACACAGCCAAAGTCAAGAAGGTCACGCGGAACACCTTGCCACTGTAAGTACTGTTAAACACAAACAAGAAATAGGATTGTATCTTAAAAACAGCTTAACATGAAAATATATTTTTAAATCCTTTCATAGACTGTTCTCTTTACAAAAGAAACCTGAAACACTTTTGCCCAATCTCCATCTCAAATGACTTTTAAAGTCCACTTTAACATATAGTCAGTATAAGAGAAAAGAGTATCTAACTGGTTTCAGCGTAACAGGAACATGAAGTAACGCACTGCATATGTGCTGTTTTTACAAACATTACAGGTTACAGCAGACTAAAAACAAGAATTTGATTTTTTTTTTAACTTGAACTTAAGACTTAACAGAGATTTCCATTTTAGCACAAAAGTAACCAAAGATATTTCAGAATTTTTCCAAAAGCAGGAGGAATGAGGCATGGATTGTTGATCAAGAATGAAAATGGTTCATTCTCAGCACGTTTGCAGGTATCAGTCAGACTTCTGCAGAGAAAAGCAGAGCACAAAACTCAACAACTCCCAATCTTCACCTAGAAAAGCCGCTCCCACAATTTTAGCAACTCTGAAACACCACTTGGCACAGCCAGTCAGTCTCCGCACAGCATTAGATCAGGACAAATAGTTTAGCTTGATGGTTCTGAACTAAGCCTTGCATATTTCCATGGTGCTGTCTTTGATCAGCAGCTCAAAGTGAATATTTGGGGCAAAGGGAGGGAGGGGCTGGTTCCTCCCTCAGCACCCAGCCAGAAAAGGGACAGCCTCTGGAGCCACCGCCTCCAGCCTTGCGCAAAATAGGAGAGCAGGATCGGGCAGGATCTCGGCATCTCTGTTGGAGTCCCAGCAATAAGAGCCAGGGTTGTGCCTGCGCAAACACTCTGCATAGAAAACAACAGCCAAAGCAGATCACCCTACAGGGGACGTTACGCAGCCAAAAGCAACTGCCTCGTTCTGAGGACCCTGAAGGGCAGGGAGGAGAAGCTGCAAGGTGTGTGCTCACATACAAGGAGAGGCACTGCTTTGCTTCACCACCTATTGCAAGTCATCAACCACTTTATACAGTGGAAAGCCAAGCAAACCACAACAGAACAGCACAGTTATTGCCTGAAGTTCTAGTGGGAAACACAGAACTGGGAATGGGATCTTCTTTAAGCTTGCCACATATTATGGTCATTTTTAGACAAACGGTGGTTATTCATTAAACCACAGCCACATATAAACAGACTTAAAGCCAAACAGTACACCTTTCCTGAGATGAAAGAACTGTGGGGAGAAACAACCCAGTGAGGAGCCAGGCAAACATAAAACACCAGAGAGAGAAGAATGGCCTCCATTCTCCCCAGGCCTGACAAATGGCAGCTCAGCCCCTGGACACCCAACCCCAGTACCTTTCACCCTCGTTAAGCCAGGATAGCCCCTCACAGCACATTGGCGCCAAAGCAAAGCCTCCCTCCTGCCCGGCCAGGCCAGGCCACATGAGCCACTCACGCTTCGCAGCAAGATTTCCCTCGGGCTAGGTGACCTCAGCTCCCCACCCCACAGCCCCGGCCAGGCCCTCCCACCACGGCCACCTGGGTAGCCAGGCAGGTGGGCCCCTTGCCCCAGGCCAAGCCAGGGACCCTCCCGGCTCCTCAGAGTCCTGAGGA